TTGTGTACAAGCAGCAGTGTTTAGGTTTTGACTATAATCTTAATATACATTGTTGTCTCTCAAAAGATTCAGACAGGACCACGTGAAAGGTTGTAGTTGTTTCGTCAATTTAAATGAGGCACACAATATCGTAAACAGTATCGTAATAAGGTTTCGAACCTACGAACAAAATATGAATTTACATAAATAAATTACCCCTAATCCCACATAACAACAGGCCAAATGACGCATTATTTAACGTACTTACACTATGGGCTCTCATAAGTCCAAGTCATGTATATATGTCTCGCAGGAGACAGCTTCCACAGTTCTCAACGGAGAATAAACCAGTCCAAACAGTTCTCAACGGAGATATAAATTTCAACCTACAAGCTAGCATGCATACCAAAACTAATTAATTATTCTAATGTTTTCTTTTGGCGGGAAAATCTATTCCCAGTCCCAAGTTCGCAATTACAAACTTATCTGATCAAAACACTCCGGGCAGCAAATTATTGCGAACCAAGGTATTAGTTTCTTTCAAACGATTCGTTTGCCGCAACAATTACAACCAATCTTTGCACAGGCCTTTCGATTGTCGTATAAGCTTGTCCTTTGTATACCTTTGTCTCTTTCGTTGGCAAACACTTGTACTGTACTTCGACCCTGCGTACTCTTCCATCGTCTTCAACCAAGGCTTTCGACACTCGACCAACTTTCCATTGTCCACGAATACTGTTCGAGTCTTGAATCATAACAACGTCTCCGACACACACGTTTCGTTTATCAACATGCCATTTCTGTCGTATTAATAGGCTCGGGAAATAATCACGGATCCATCGTTTCCAGAACGCATTCACCAATCTTTGCACAAATTCAAAGCGCAACCTTTCGTTCTTCGTTTCCTTAAATGGTCCACTGGGAATTCTTGCCGACGCTCTACCGAGAAGCAAGTGATTCGGGCTAAGATATGTGTCGTCGCTGGGACTCGTCGGATGAATACCAATTGGCCGTTCGTTAACTAGGTTGGCGGCCTCAAAACAGACTGTCTGTAGCTCGGAAAACATCAATACCTGATCCCCAATCGCCCCTTTGATTGCGCCCTTCACAGACTTCACCAGTGCTTCGGAGCAACCATTTTGCCATGGAGCATCAGCAGCTGCAAACTTCCACTCTAACCCATGCTCAGCGCCAAACTCTCGAAGTCGTTCGTGATCAACACCTTCGATTATGGATTTTAATATATTCCTTATTAGCAGACGCAAGTTGAGACCCACAATCTGAAAACATGTGCTTCGGGTACCCTCGGATAGAGACAAATCTTCGTAGAATCATTAGGAAACCTTCCGTACTGTAATCGGTTGCTATGTCCACATGAACAGCTCTGCTAGCCATGCAGTTGAAGAGCACACCATACGCCTTACCCCGGGAACGCTTGTTTGTCTCACCTCTCGTCTGAAATGGTCCGAAAACGTCTACTGCAATTGAATTCTACGGTGGTGCCGGGGTCACACGTTCTTTCGGCAATGTTCCCATCACTTGACTTTCCAAAATCTTCTGCTTTTTGCGACAGATGACACATTGCTCTCTGATAGCCCTAGCCATCTTGCGCAGCTTCAGGATCCAGAAGCGGGTTCGAATCTTGCTCATAGTGGTGGATACTCCATTGTGACCTCTACTGTGGACACGTTCCGCGTACAAACGAGACACTCGATGATCGAACGGCATCAGGATCAATTCTTGTTCATCGTAACTAGATTCAGACGACTTTGGGATTCTCCCACCAACAACGATGATTCCATCTTTTCTCTTTCGTGCGCAAAGTCGATTAAACTTTCCTTTCTCGAAGCGCTGCTGCAACGATTTTTGCGCTTCTTTGATCCAAAGAAGCTCAGCATTCTGTACACATTCCGCTTCGACTGGTGCAGCAAGATTTTTCAACGATGGTTTCGGGGTCTTTTTGCCGACAGCTGTAATGCGTGCAGTCACCCGAAGCAAACGATAATAGCAAGAGAATCGTAGAATATCAATGGCATGAGACAGTATGATTCTCGACTCAACTTTAATGATCATTGCCGCCTTGGTCTCTTCAGGCAGGTGATCCGGTAATACAAATTTCTTGATTGGCCATTCTGATTCGTGCAGGTGAAGAAAGTCTGGCCCTGTCTGCCAAAGACTGTTCTTGTCAAGCTCGCTCGGATTCTTCCCCCGCGTTATCCAGTCAGCTATGTTGAGTTTCCCTTCAATCCAATGCCAATCACTTGGAGAAGTTCCTTCTTGAATCTCGCCAATTCGCACGGCTGCATAGGTGTTGAATCCGTACGAATCTTTCTGAATCATTGCTCTAACTATCTCCGAGTCCACGAAAAAATATTCTTTCTCGAAAATGAGGCGAGATTCTTTCTTGATAAAAGCACTAAGCCTTTTCGAAAGCAACGCTCCGTTCAACTCCGTTCTAACGATTGTCGTCTTTCGAATTGGTGTGACCCTGCTCTTTGCTGCTAGAAGATTGGCACCAAAAGTCCCATTTTCAAGCTGCCATCTTACATATGCACATGTACCATATGCCTGGTCTGATCCATCACTGAACATCACAAGGGCTGGCTTGGTTTCACACACCTTCTAAACGTGACCTTTTCCATGTTGAAAAGTTCAATGAAAAATCGCAACCACTCTTCTCTTAACGAGGCGGGGATTGGATCGTCCCAGGTCAGGTCTTTCGATTCTCCTATCCACAATTTTCTCATAAGTATCTTTGCCCTCACGGTGAATGGGGCTGCGAGTCCAAGTGGATCTTATATTCCGTTAATCTGCGACAACACCATCCGTTTCGTTAGTATGGGCGGAATAAGCACTGGAACTTGTTCTTGAGTGAGATTTGGTCCACTTCGTAGTTTCTTAATCTTTGGGGTAAAGTTAAGTTGCATTTTGAAACAAAATTGGCCCTATTTGAATCCCAGCGTACACCAAGAACTTTCTGTTCATCCCCTTCAGAGCATGCTGTCCCAGTATTTTGTATCTGCTTCTCGCATACCGACTTGCTTCCCAGTGATCTATTTGCGCTGTCATCGTTCACATTCTCTGATGAATAGATCCAATGCTTGATTTGGAATCCACCAACCTTGACCAAATCGTCAATTTGACCGGTTGTCTCTCGTGCTGTTACCATAGTCTCCACGCTATCTGCAATGTCGTCAACGTAAGTGTTGTTGAGGATGGTATCTGATGCATTTCGAAGATCATCTTTTTGCATTTCCGCTGTTTTGCGTAGAGCAACTGTGGCGATATTTCCCGCAGGTTTGTCACCGAACGATATGGACGTCATGACGTATGTACTTCTCCCACTATCCTGTGACATGTCGCGCCAAAGAAATCTATGAGTGTGCTGATCAAGAACTGATATCTTTATGGCGTGGTACATCTTCCGTATATCGCTGACAAATGCGACTGGGCCTTCTCTAAATCTCACGAGTTTGCCGAGCAGGTTGTTCATAAGATCTGGTCCCTTAGCCCAGCAGTTATTTAGTGAATGTCCCTGAAACTTCGCTGACAAATTGAAGACTATTCGACAAGGCGTGGATGTGGATTCTGGTTTAAGCACCTCGTGGTGGCTTAGGTAATATACTGGGCCGTCATAGTTTTCAATTTCTGCTTGTGTGAGTTTCCTTGCAACACTTCGCTGTACCATATCCTGAATCTGCTCCTTGTACGTTTCCAGAAGCGGTTTGTTCTTCTGCAACCTCTTTTCTGTAGACCCAAGCATTCTCAAAGCTGCTTCTTTGTTGTTTGGCAGATCATCCGGGCTCCTAATCCAAGGGTATCGCACAACCCAATGATCGCCTTCATGTGTCAATCCTTCCTCAATCAAATTTAATTCCCGCTCCTCCTTCAATGTGAAGCTTTTCCCATCAATTGGGCACCGTCCACAGCGACAACTTCCACATCTCGGGGAACATTCAACGCCTAGAGATTCAGTATCGAAAAAATTTTCAATGTTTATCCTCACAACATGGTGAACTGTAGCATGCTGGATAAGCTTAAGCGTGTTCTCTGCCATACTGGTGTGAGACCCACCCAGACAACGACCGAATCGGTTTTTCAACAGAAGTAAATGCCCAGAAGATTGCTCCCGCTCAGGATGATAACCTGCATACTCATAACCAATCAACACATCTATTTCCCCATTTGTTCGCTGAATCTCCTGCTTATTTATGTTTTGGAACAGATGCATCACGCCGTTGAGGTTAATTCCCTCCATAGGGGAGGATATCCGATCAATTCCATAAACACGGAATTTGACAGTCTCCCCTGATTCATCGATTAAGGGAAGTTTGTATACTGATGATCTCATCTCTTCCTTGACACCGCCAACTTTGACAACCGACAGCCTAATTTCCTCTCCATCCAAACTTAGCTCACATGCTTTAGCAAAGGTGATCAGACTAATGGTTGCACCACCGTCCCACAGCACATTTAAAGGAGCAGCATTGACAGCTGATTTTATTTTCATCACCTGCAGCAAGCAAGTTCCCGATTCCTTTCCATCTGCGTCATGGTGATATTTTGAACAATCATCACTGTTGCATTTCTTGCGTTGTCTGCAGTCAATAGAGCGGTGACCAATCTTGAGGCATGACCAGCAAGCTCGCTTTTCCTTTAACAACTGGACTTTCCCTTCTGGTGCCATCTCTTGATATACTCTACAATCGGCCGTATTATGCATGCTCGAGCTGTGAACTAAGCACCTGGTCGTCTTTGTAGCTTCTTTGTCTTCAATAAACTTTCCATCACAGTCAATCATGTGGACACGACCTTTGTGAGCATGATCCCCTCCAGTCCTCAGCTCTGATGACTCGTATTCTATAATCTTTCTTTGTTCTTGAAGGAATTGGAGAAGACACGGGAACTTTTCTGTTCTACTTTGCTGGTTGATCTGTTGACTTCTCCAGACCATTCCCGCTTAATGTCACGAGGCAATCGTTCTTCGATTAAACTGACTGTTCCACTATTGGATATTTCAGATTCCATATTGATTCTGGCTAGATCTTGATAGCCTTTCTCAACCGTATTTATAAGCTCTAGAAATGATTGATCATCTCCTTCCTGTAAGTGCTTTATATTCTTAATATCATATACGACAACATCGACTAATTTTGATGGCAGACCATATTTCTCATCTAATCGCTTCCACATTTTCGTTACATCATCATCTAAGTTGTAGATGGCATCAAATGCTTCACCTTCGAGACATGATTTGAGGACATATGCAACTTTTCCAGATTCCAACTCTGGTAGGATTTGTTTTTCAAAATCTGATCGAAAACGAGGGTAGTCTCGAATATTTCCACTGAATTGGGGTAATTTCATTCTTTCTAGTTTCATTGTGCTTCCTCTCATTGCATTACCTATGGTATCACTTTCCGTTGAATAACGTCGCCGATTTTTTTAGATATTTGCGAATAAATCTTTTGGAGACTCGTGAACCAAGCTATCTCATCACCAGCTGTCTCAGCATCAAGTAGCAGAACATATTCACCATTAACCCTTTTACACTCTTCAAGTTGTCTTTTTAGCTCAGTTCTTGCCGTTTCAAGCATTGATGCTGCCGGATTGGGTTTGTCTATCTCTGCAGCTAATGCCTCTTCTAGATTTTCCACGTCTTGTCTAAATGCGATTTCTTCAACTTTGCGGGCTTGTTCAGCTCGAAAAATAGCTTTATCGCCCTCTTTCTTACGAATTCGATCTTCTTTTCTCTTTAGAAATTTACGGTCTTCTACGGTCTCAAAGTATGCCAACTTTTGCCGTAACACGTCATCATAAACTTTATCCATTTCATCAATCCATCCATCCTCTTGCTCAACATCATAAGTCGTCTTCGAATTTTCCAGCGATTCTATATACCCTTCGTGCTTCCGTTGGACGTCATCCCAGAGCTGCTTCAAATCTTTAAATCTACTCTCGATTAATGCAGCCGTATCTTTAGAGTTAATAGAGTCGACTAATTTCTTGACGTTCCGATTAAATACGCGTTTAGCCGAAGTTCGAACCAATTTAGCCTCTAAAAAAATTGGTCAGAATAGTGCATTGCACTATAAGAAAATGTTTTCTGAAATAAAAAATTGGGGTAACCGACCTTTTTTAAAGTAAAATGCATTCAAAGCCAAAATATCGGCCATCTTGAATCGTCATTGTTGCCATAGCAACAGTGGTGACGTCACTTTTCTGACCAATTTTAGACTGTTTGATTGTCGCTGTATATATAATATACAAATTTCGATTTGTAAAGAGCATCATCTCTTCAAAAAAGTGATCTAGTTTACGCATTTTCAACATTTCGATAAACTGTAGCGAGCCACCTTAAAATCCATCAAATTGTTTACTGTTTATTTTTGTCAGGAGATATAAAACTATGTATAAAATCAATGTCCTTGTGTTCCTCTGTTTTACCCATAAGCCATTTTTCGAAAATGTGTGCTATCAACTCCCTCCCCCATCATCAATGGTCCGTTTTGTCTAAAATACATGCAAAAAATGAAGAGCAGGACTTTCTCTAGCTTTTAATAGGGTTAGGCTTTTGGTTGTTCATACATCAAGGAAGCACATGAATAGCTTAGTTCAGAAGAGTGCTTTAATATTCCCTTAACTAAACATTGCAGGCAGCTTACTTTAGTGTATTTCTCT